AAACATTTTTGAATATTCCTATTTCGATAACCAATCATTATTTTTGAAAAATAAAATAATAAAAAATTAATTTCTTAGAAATCTAATTTTTATATAAATGTTTTTATTATATTTAATAAAAAATTAAAATGTTATGATTTTCGTTTTAAAAAAAGTATTTTAATAATAACTCTTATATCAATTTGAATTTTCAAATAAAAAGTAGATTTTTATAATACTTATATAATTAAATATAATATTTCAAATTTTTAAAAAATAATAATAATAAATAAAAAGAGTGTACGATTATATACAAACGAATTTTGTATATATATTTGAAGTGAGTTATTTAGTGATATAAGTTATTCAATGTTAAACTACGTTATTTATACTTTTTAATTATCTGATTTTGAACTGAAACTATTTAAAGTTTTAAATATCTAAATTAAAATAAAACTATTCGATCTTTAGATTGTTAGAATTGAAGTAGAATTATTTAAGCTTTTAATCCTCTAAATCAAATTAAAACTATTGAAACTCTTGATTCTTTGAATTGAACTAGAACTATTTAAGCTTTTAATCCTCTAAATTGAATTAGAATTATATAGACTTCTAATTCTCTAAAATGAATTAGCACTATACAAGTGTTTAGTTCTCTAAAATGAATTAGAATAATCAGAACATTAAAAGATTTCGCCAATAGTCAATTCCCGCCTGTTTCTTCTCTCGTATGGAGCCTAAGTCCTTCAGCAATCCGATTGTTTCATTTCAATTCAGAGAATCAGATATTTAAATGATGAAGTAGATTCTACTTTCATATTTCTTGTAATTTATATAAATGATACTGATAATATCTACCAACAATGTAACCCTAAACTCCAGGATAATGCTTTAAGAAGAAATTTTCTATGCCAATGCAACACCTAATCTCACTTAACAGAGTATTGTGCCTATATGCAATGCCAGAGACGATGCAAAACTGAGCTACTTGCCACCATACTCCTTACTCTTGCAATTCAATCATTGCAGCAAGCTACCGCGACTGCCGCTCCCAACAGTGAGCTCTCCTCCGCATACATTAACTCCACAATACCACTTCTTGCACCACTTGCTTCTACCAGCATATCAATATGCTTTTGTGTATTTTTTCGAAATTCTGGATAATTCTCCAGCACAGAGCCATTGTAAGCAACGACTGTGTGAGCTGAGTTGGCGAGCGAGATTAATTCGGATGTGTTACGCATGTGCCAGAGGGCATGAACACCAGCAGCGATGAGACCGCTAGAGCGAAGGGTTACGAGGGAAGCTATTAGTCGTAAGGCATGAAGATCGACTTCGGTGGGGATATGAGAGGATGGGTGACGGGTGGTAAATATTTCTATGGCAGTAGTGAGGTATGGAGTTGTATCGCTAAGGGTAGTGTTAGTCTAGTTTGGTAACTATCAATGCATAAAGCTGACGGAAACTACAAAGAAAAGTGTATGATGGTTGGTGACTTACGCTTCGATGTATGAGAGAGTCTCGGTCTCTAGCGAGTATTTCTCCCTTAGATTTGTAGGCACCACTCCTCCAAATAGCCCTGCGCTCTGAATCCCATCAATCAATATTAATCTTACGATCTCTCCAATATACCCACCACTTGCGAAATGTTCGAATGGTTGAAAGTCTGGTCGAGGGTGATTTGCCTTCAAATATTTATCCCATTTTGTGTACGGAAGATAACTTCCACCAAACATTGAGAGTTCTGTGTTGACAATAACATGTTTTGCGCAATCATGCCAAGATGCAGGACGGATTCCAAATTTTGGCTGTGCAAAGATATGGACAGGAAGATGAGCTGCAGCATTCAAACCAGTTCCCAAGATCAATGCGAAACGTGTGGTAGGATCTATATATGCTTTGGAAAGTAATGTTGCTGAAGAGTCGTTCACAATGGCATTCAACTGAACGTTCAGTCCTCTTTTCAAGCAAGAGTCTTCAATTAAGTCGCCTAGGTCTTTGCCAATCAATCCATCGGCAGCACAAAATCCTTTGCCCATGCCCATGAGAAGACCACCCTTAAGTGATGTTTGACTGTGAACCTATCGTCAGCTGACTTCTAATTGGATAGTTATTTTGATGATCATACTTGATGGGAAAAGACCAGGACAATCCTACGGACAAGGGTGCCTTTGAAATATCATGTCCTTCTTTTTCCCCGGAAAGTGTGTCGACAATTCGATCTGCCATCCAATCGAAGAACTGTACCCCGACAAGCTGTCTCTCAGCATTTTTGATCTTGAAAGACTTCAATCCAATAATCTCAATCTCTTTCCCTTCGCATCCTTTTCCAGCTAGTTTAATCAAAGCTACTCGAAAAGTCGACCCCCCAACGTCTAGAGCAAGGTATGTTCCACATTCATGACCACTAGGCAATTGATGATTGTATGAGGGAAGCATACATTGTGGATTTTCCAATAAGCTCTCCGCAAACTCTTTTCTCAAGCCATCTGACAGTGCCAGCAAGGAGGCCTCTGTCGTAGAATCTTTAAAGGCAGCTTCAACCTCGTCTAAAAACTTCTTGACTTTCGTCAGTGAAATCTCCTTTACATCAACATTTTCGTCCTTAATCCGTTTGATAGTCGAGGGCGCAATCCAGAATTTGATAATGATTTCTAAAATCGACTTTGTTTTAAGAAAAGATTTGATAAATGCGGCATAGAAAGCCTGTCGTACCCTATGCATGGCAGCGATGAACGGCTGCATGATATGAAGTCCTCATACATATAGGAAATGCTCAATGAGACTAACGCGCTAAAATACGAAAGTGCTAGGGTAGTGCTGATATGGTCCCGCCTGCTCCATATCACAACAAAGATGAAGAAGGGAGTTTAAACAAGTGAAAGATTGATAAGATGGTAAACTTCAATTGAGTCAAAAAAAATGGATCCGATGGATGGATGTAAAAGGAAAGGCCAGATCGGGCGGTAGAGGTATACGATGTAAAAAAGAAATATGGTAGTAGGACTTTTTACCCTCGTGCTCGTAAAAATTATGTAGGCTGGACGTTTCGGCCGATTTGTGGTAACCAGCTGGAATGAATGGATGGATGGATGAATGAATGAATGTCTATGGAAGAAACACGTACAGAACCTGTACAAAACCTGTTACTTTGCTGGGAAGGGTGACTATTGCGCCATCATTCATGAGGAATGCAATCTCAAACAATTGGTTATCCAGCTCCAAGAATAGATTGAATTGGTAGGATAAGGGAAAAAGTTTAAGCCAAGACTGAAGAGAATGCTACAAGTACGAAGGCAAGAATGATTGGGAGTAACATCGTATCCTCACTCGGTTCGTCATTTCCCAGACCAGAAAGTTGGATCCCAATAGTAATGAAAATGGAAATGGAAATGGAAATGGAAATGAAAATGAAAATAAATTAATAAAAGTTACCTTCTTCAATTGAAACAAGCTACTTGGAAATAAAGGGTCCAATTCTGAGCCGTCCCTCCATTCTGTTTAGAAGTTGATATTTCTGCGTTACTGCTTGCTGCATTGCTGCATTGCTGCATTGTTCAGCAGGACAAGATCCTCAAAACCATCGAAAATGGAGATGCCCCTGCATACTGGCCCCTTCCCCATCTTTGGATGAGATGCTATCTAATGAGTTACCAAGGTAGGAGTAGATCCGACGAAGAATCCGACTCGGAATCAGAATCAGACTCAGAGAAAGCTTCCAAGAGCCTTCCCATGAGTCAAAATGTCAAATTTCCATGATATGTGGTTCGTATCGTATTGAATTTAAACCGTATATAGTAATATCATCATGGACTCAATACAATCTAGCTAGCAAAGCGATTAGTTGCTTTGCTCGTTTGAAAGCAACGTTACAGTTGGGGAAAGCATTTTGCATTTTGATCTCCGTCCCACCACCCATCTATGGGAAAGGAAAGCAAAGGAAAAGGAAGCTTGGATATTATTTCTTTATGCTGTACAAAGGTGTAATAAGTCCAAGTACCAAGACGGAAGATCAATTCCATCCATGATCCAACCTTTTGCAGTAGTAATTCAGTCATTCAGTAATTATAATTCATTCATTCAGTAATTATAATTCATTCATTCATTCATTCATCTAGCGTACAGAGAACATTCCTCCAATCCACAATTCTGATCGGGATAAGCTTTAAGCGAATGTAACGGTAAGACAACCAACAACCAGAAGAAACATCAAACCATCCTCACCATCCCATCCCATCCCATCCATCAAACGTCCTTTGGAATTTCTCCGACCCTTCTTCCATGAACCTTCACCACCATCAAACTCCGGAAGGATTTGGGAAAGCTTGTATCGTGGGTGTAACTATGTATGCGACGACCAACAACCAACAACCAACAATTGTGATATGATATACCAATGAAGTGGTCAACATGTTTGATCATTCATCGGAATTTACGGACTAACTTATGACTCGGGAGTTCTAGGGCTCATTGTGACAGCCGTTAGTGGAGATGGATTGATCTTGTGGGGTAAGCAAACTACCATACTTCTTTCTATCAGACTGCCGATATCAGTAAGGCTATCAGTACTGGGTCGTCGTGACGTTCCATACACTATCAAGATGATGGAGGGGCAGAATGATAGAGTTAAAGGTCACAATACTTGAAACTGTCCAATGAACAACACCATCATGAGAACCTTCTGTCAAGGTTTGTCGATGAAAGTTTGGATTTCCTTGTTGTGAAGCGTTGAAGCATGGAAGCTAATGGCTTGATGCCATCATCTTGCGACGAAACCCATATCAGTAAAGTACGGTAGGTACGGCAATCCATTCGACCAATTTCTTTGATCATCGACTAGGTAGATAATCTTCGGTTTTATATTCACTGTTCGCATGCCGTATGCTCCATCTCTGCGGGAATATAATCATACCTAAACTTTCTGCAAACTTACATTTCAATCTACAAACACCCACATAGTACCTTGATACCGACATTCAGAAATCCCCATAACTTCCTACATCAATTCAAATACAATCAAAATGAGATTCATCATCAGAGATGGCAGAACAGAGGCATCTGCCTATGTTGCACAGTACATTGTTGGTATGTTTCTACCTCTAGCTGAACATATAAACATCAATTGACATTGGGCTAGATCGTATCAACGCTTTCGGACCAACCCCAGACCACCCCTTCGTTCTTGGTCTCCCTACTGGTTCCTCCCCTATTGGCATATATAAGATTCTCGTCGAAAAGTACAAGGCTGGTGAGATTTCATTCAGAAATGTTGTCACTTTCAATATGGTATGTTTGTAAACTTTGCACGTCGAGCTACATCTATCTCTAGTGTTAAGAGTCGGATCACTAACACGAGTGGCTTGCATAGGATGAATACATTGGTATTCCACGCAACCATCCAGAAAGCTATCATACATTCATGTATAAGCATTTCTTCTCCCACGTTGACGTCCTTCCTCAAAATGTCCACATTTTAAACGGCAATGCGGAAAATCTCGAGGCCGAATGCGTACAATATGAGGAAGCTATCAAAGCAAAGGGCGGAATCGATTTGTTCCTTGGCGGAATTGGACCAGATGGACATATCGCATTCAATGAGCCCGGATCTTCCCTCGCATCTCGTACAAGAGTCAAGACTTTGGCGTATGATACAATCATTGCCAATTCGCGATTCTTCGATAACGATTTGGAGAAGGTTCCAAAGATGGCTTTGACCGTGGGTATTCAAACTATCTTAGAGGCTAGAGAAGTTGTCATCATTATCACTGGAGCACATAAAGCTTTGGCTTTGGCAAAATGTATTGAAGAAGGTGTAAACCACATGTGGACCCTCTCTTCCTTACAGATGCATCCACATCCAATGATCGTTGCAGATGAAGATGCAACACTTGAGCTTCGAGTTAAAACAGTCAGAGTAATTGCCCCACTTTACTTTACCCCACTATCCACTTACCCCTCCATGGCCAACTTCCTCCCTTAATCACAGTTGAAGTTCATTGCTAACAAAATTTCAAACAGTACTGGAAATCAATTGAGAAAGTCGCCGCCGATGAGGGTTTCGAACAAATTCTTCCATCTGCTGCTCGTACAGGCCCCAAGCGTACTGTCCCTCTCGCACCTATGGCAGAGAGCTTAATCAAAGAAACACCTACCATCAAGTCTCCACAACCTCTCACAAGCACTTTCTTAGCTGCACCAGCTACCGAGTATCCAATTCGCAGAAGCATTACTCCGGATTTAATTCCTGACCGCATGGGAAGCAGAATTGTATCGGTTTGATACTACAGTTACATGTTTGGGTATGGATTCGATAATATTGGGCATGGGAGGATCAAATTGGGTTACATGGACGCAAGATAACAAGGTCTTCTCTTCGTAGCGGAATTGTTAGTCTTTACGGATTGCGGGAGTAGATTTACACAACGCGTTTCTACTTTTCTCTTTACTTTCTTCTTTTGACAATATGTATCTTGGCAAGATACTGAGTCGTTGCTGCTTCTTTGTTTTTATGGCGAGCGAGACGGAAGTTATTTACATTAAAGTAAAATCACCTACACTAAATTTCTGAGATTCCCACGAATCCTCTGTATTACTAAATAGAAAAGATGAGAGTCAATGAGAAATGAATAAATTAATATATATTAATCATCTTTATTGTGTCCTGCCATGATGTGCGTGCGTTGTGTGTTACCTATGTACGTGATTCTTGTAAAGGTTTATAATACAAATATAAACACACAACACAAGCATACAAAGGTATCAAGAGCATTTAATTTGACAAAAATTAATCTATATCTATCTAGGTATGCGTGTTCGTTCTGACTTGGGCTGTGAAACCAATTTCTATCTATCTATGCAGTTTCATTGGCAATTTGATGGAGTGTACTCGCTACGTTTGTTAATCTGTAAATACAAGTGAAGAGAAATGAATAGAAACTCTAATTGAAAACGCATTCATAATCTTCCTTCTCTCCCACCAACGACCAAACCCCAGAATTCCTCTCATTTCCCTATTCCACCATCTTTCCCCTCTCCTCCGCTTCCCTCTCAAAAACCCTAACCCCAAACTTCCACACCTCATCTACCACAACCCTCTTCCTGCCCTCCTCAACCACCACATCCAACACACACAAATCGGCATCCATTCCGCCCTCCAAGCCCCCCTTGACATGCTCTAGGCCCAGCATTCTCGCCGGAGTCTGCGTCACTGCCTTCAAGGCCTGCGCTACACTGCATCCCGTCCAGTTGAGGAAATTGGAAACACATTCGACGAGGGTGATGGAGGAGCCTGCGATTTTCCCATCAGACTCCAGACGCAGGTGGATGCCGTCTTTGAGGATGAAGTCGTTGTTCCAGGCGTAGCGGCCGTTGGGGAGACCGACGAGGTGCATGGCGTCGGTGACGAGGATGAGGCCCGAGGGGTGCGCGTTGTAGGCGAGGGTTATGGTGGTGGGGTGGAGGTGGATGGAGTCGGCTATGATGCCGAAGTATGGGCGTTGGGTTATGGGTTTGGGGAGAGGGGGGATGATGTTTTGGGTGACGAGGGGAGAGGAAGGGGGGGTGGTGGAAGGGGAGGAATTGGTGGTGGGGGTTGTTCCCAGGAGACCGAAGATTCCGGGATTGCGGTGATGGAGGGGAAGCATGGCGTTGAAAAGGTGGGTTATCATCGTTGCTCCGGCGGTGACGGCGGCGGTGGCGTCTTCGTAGGTTGATTCTGTGTGACCGATGCTGAAGATGATGTTGTGAGGAGGGGAGATGAGGGTTGGGATGAGGGAAGTCATGTTTGGAAGTTCGGGGGCAGCGGTCATGAGGCGGATATTTCCGACGAGGTTGGAAGCACCATAGCAATCTGAGATTGAAGTGAGATCTTTAGATTTAGGAGCTAATAGGACGGGCAGGGGATGAATTCCATTTTTGGTGGGAGCGAGAAATGGTCCTTCGACGTGAGCGCCGAGTGATTCGGTTCCATCTGATGCAACACGACTTGCTCCAGAGGGACCTAGAAATGGAAGTGCCTTGAGGAGATTATTAGTAGATATTCATCCATATAGATTTCACCAAATGCTTACATGATGATAGACCTCCGGCCTCGACGATGTGATGGTAGGTAAATGTGAAGTAACACCCGTCTTAATCAACAATTGATTAACCCTCCTGAATTCCTTTGCATAAGCATAAGGATCATCACTTTCTGGTATAGAAGCAAAATCGAATCCAAAAGCCCCATTCAACTGTGTATCAATAAAACCTGGTGAGATGATACGACCACCGAGATCAATAACTTCATCTGGTACACACAATTGAGCGTAAAAAGCTTCCTGGCTTTGGATGATTTTACCAGTCAAGGAGGAGACCCATAGATCTTGGGTTACTAAAGATTCGCCCTTGAGGAGACGACAATTTGTAAACTTTGTGATTTTGGAAGTCGAGGTTGGTAGTGCCGATGGCATGATTGTGGATTTGATTGTAGAGTTATGTTACAGAGGAAGGTAGGAAGATAGGAAGTGTTTTGAGAAATAAGGTAGGAGACAAAGAGAAAGAAGATTTGAGGATATCATGCAAATAGTACTGCAATCTCATCCACTAGTAAATGAATCTCTCTAGATTTGAAGAACTTTGAGAATTCACTTGTACCTTCCATAGTTTACTAACATATGACCATATACCTTACCTACCCGTGGACCTACTTGCTACTTACTTACCTACCGTAGCATACTGGGGATGATTTGATAGTGTAAATCTGAACATTAGCTCATCTAAAACATGATAACCATGATAACCTATGATAACCTTAAACAACAACCTTGGAAGGGCAAAGTATCTTCCAAACTGAACATAAAATTTCATGTGTTATCGATTGTATCATACAACGCCCCAGTATCAGGAGCAGTATCAGTATCAGTATCATGTCATATTACATCTATCCTATCCACCATATCGTAGCGTTGGACTGGTAGAGAGAGTGTGTGGTTGATCGAGTGGAGAGGAAGACGAGGTACCATCAACGTTCAAATGTTGGGATCTTATGTTGTAAGGGAACCGCAAATACACATGTAACGTCGTATCGAATCGACGGATCATCGGAGGTCGGTAGTTTAGATTCAAGAGAACTGATTATCGAATAAATCTATTTATCAAGCACACTTGAAATCACTTGATGATGATAAGATGCCAAGTCGCCGGGATTTTATGTTATTGTTTGAATTTTTAATGAACCTGGAAAACATGCTGCGTTGGGTTGTCTTTTCCTGAGCAATCAATTTTCAGATCACAATTTTGTCTGGAGTGGAGGAGGCCACACACACCACACACCACGGCGCACAATCCGACAATTCCCCGGTGTAACATCATGTGACCATCTCAGATGGAGGAAGAACAACATCCCAGCCACCCACTCATCACTAGATACGTTTGTACATCCTACAACACCCTAGCTGAAACCAACCACTTACATCTGTTCAAGTGACACACCCCAAGATGCTGGATATGTGAGGCTGATGATTATACATCAAAAGATATTTCAATTTCATGCAGACCTTTTGAATCGTAGCGAAGAAGCGACGGCTGTGATGAATACGCTCATTTTCATTTTTCCTTGCATAACATCATCCAATAGTATTCTTCACGTATCATGATTTCTTAATTACACACGGAAAGCGGAGCAGACGATCATCCTAGACACTCAGCCAACGTTGCGCTCAACTTTATAGCCCTGTTACACTCTCTAAATTGCGTTGTCCAGAGTGGGAATAACGACATTTGTACAGCAAGAACATATCAAAGATGGATGCTACAGAAGAGGAACTGGATCCTTTGTGGAATGACCTCGATTGGTAGGTTCTGGGCCACTTATGTAGAGACTGGGAAATAGGCTAACAAAATAAAGGGCCATGGGACAGTGAGTATATTCTTAATCTACCGAGCTGTATGGGACAATGTTTTATAGCTCTGCGATTATTTTTTGATCCTGGATACTAACCGGGTATCTCTGACTACAGATGCTTTATGATGGGATTCGAAGGGACCGAAGTTACTCCTCATATCAGGACTCTCATTGAAGATCATCATCTAGGTGCTATTTTGTTGTCGACCAAGAACATGAAGTGTAATAATTTGTATTTCTTATTTCTGTCTGTAGTGTTTCTTTTCTTCCCGTCGTTTTGTAATCCAATGGGTAGTGGGCAGTGGCTTTGACATGTCACCTTGATGGCTATTGACCCAGCCATGTAATTCGCCTCCCAGTCACATATATTTCACGTGCATATCATTTGTATGATGACGATGTTGTTCTTCACGTTCCCTTATAGACAGTCGTTGACCTGAGTAGCTGCCCGAGAGACAGCAAATTTAGTACAGGAACTCCAAACGATCGCGCACCAAGCTGGTCATCTAGTCCCTTTAATCATTGCTCTTGATCAAGAGAATGGTGGCGTTAATAGCCTTTTTGATGAAGATTATATCTGTCAGTTCCCAAGTGCAATGGGAATGGCAGCAACAGGATCTCTAGAGCTTGCATACGAAGTTGCCAATGCAACAGCCAAAGAATTATCAGCAGTTGGAGTTAATATGATAATGGGGCCTTGTCTTGATGTCTTGACAAATGCTCGTTATCAACCATTGGGTGTTAGAGCTACTGGAGATGACCCTCAGGAAGTTTCCCAATATGGTATTGCTGCCATGAATGGGTATAAGGATGCCGGACTCGCTTCCTGTGGGAAACATTTTCCATCTTATGGAAATCTAGATTTCCTAGGGTCATCTCTTGATATGCCCATTATCACAGAGACTCTTGAACAGTTAAGTCTTGGTGCTCTAGTTCCATTCCGGAACGCTATTCGTGAAGGGATGGATTCTATTATGGTTGGTGGATGTGCAATAGCAAATGCTGGTTTGTTCATCTTTCGTATTGTTGGGCTGTATTATTAATACTGAATAGGAATGAATGTCATGCACGCTTGTCTCAGTGATCAGGTTGTGGATGATCTCCTTCGGAATGATCTTGGCTTCAATGGTGTAGTTGTTTCTGAATGTCTTGAGATGGAAGCATTGAGTCATGATATTGGAGTTAGAGGTGGTACCGTCATGGCAGTAGAAGCTGGATGTGATCTGGTACTTCTATGCCGCTCTTACTCTGTTCAAAGAGAAGCCATTGCAGGATTAAAACTTGGACTGGAAAATGACATGATCTCCAGAGAACGTATAAACCTCTCTTTAAAGCGAGTCTTGAGGGTTAAATCACAGTGCACATCTTGGGCTAAGGCCTTGAACCCTCCAGGTAT